TATAGATATATTCAAATATACATACTGAATATGTATGATTATATGTACATGGTTATATATACTGACTGTTTCCCATTTGTATATGTATCTACAGGCACACCTAGAGACACTTACGCAACACATTGCTGGCACAACCAGCACTGATGCCTCGGTGGACTCGCAGTTGTCACGCGATCATGTACAGGCACTTGTGTGCGTATGGATACACAGAGCGTGTGACGACCTGGCTATGCTGAGAGAAGAGAAGAACATGCTCGTACATATGGAGAAGGTTCGTGCCATGTGTGTGTATTTTGTTGTATATACGTACAAGTTATGTATATGCTGGTGGGTACACATATGTATGCACGCACATACAATTACTACTTGTCAACCTGTGGACGTAAGTGTGGATGTATAAATCTTCAGAATACGACGTTCTGACTGTGCTGCTATCATGCTGGCGTGTACATGTGCGTACGTATCTATAGTAAATATGATACAAACACATACAAAGTATTTATATTTATATATGTTCCTGTGTATTTTACGTGTTCATCTATGATATCTACAATAGCACACATCTGCACATACACCTACATAAGAAGTGGCCGTTTGTGGACACTCGTTTGGTGTTATCAGAAAGAGAGCAAATTATGATCCGAATATACTGAGATGGGAGATAAACTTGCGTAGAAATGTACTGGATGTGTATATGTACTGTTATAGGTTTGGATACTTGTGTGTGTGCCTTTATATATGTATGTTAGTGGTCATACGATCCCATGGTTCATGTGTAGGCTATTGTAAGTATTGCTGGTATTTCGCTATTATAAATATCATTATGTATATTTCTATGCGTGTTCTAGAGCCTGCGTGTTGCTGTCATTGTACGAGTACATTACATGGGCAAAGTAAGTAACACATACACTTTGCTGTTGTGATGCATATAATCATCCCCGGCCCGTATACCGTGTACTCGCGTACAATGCGGCTTTCATACACATATTCAATCCCGTGTCGAAGCTGCATTTGTGAAGTTCATGGCTCTAAAACGAAGACAGAGGTCGCGTCAGAACCATTTCGCCTACTAACGCAAGAAAGGCGATACGTCGACGGGTACTGAAGAGTATCGATACAATGTCGTGATTGATACACTTGCTCAATCCTCGTGTGCGGTAGTCACAAACGCGTACTCAACAGTTGTAATTAAAAACAATGTTGGGATCTGTACACTCGCTCTGATTTGTATGGCGGCTACTTTGCAGTCTCTCACTTTGTCTGTTTTTTTATGCAGTTGCGTGAAGATAACGACGGGAAGATGCCCGAACCGCCGAAGAACAACAAGCCTGCGTTTAAACCGTTTGTATTGACCAAGGAAATGGTGAATAAAGGCATCTTTGGTAACGGTTACCCAGCTCAGCCCACCATGACCATAGAAGAGGCTGCCGAGAGAGAACACAACCTTGGCATGCACGGATGCCACGGAGGGTATGTGGATTACATATTGATTTCAGCCTATTCACACACACATACACTCACATATATATATGTATATATAAATATATATGAATATATATATGTATATATATATATGTGTGTGTGTGTGTGTGTATTCGTATGTA